GTTTGTCTATCTGTGCTTGAAGACAGAGGTAAAAGCATCAGGAACGGGTGACTAAGAGGACCCACCTGCACACTCTGTGCTCATGCAAGGGAAAGAAGCAGCTGACTAGGCAAGAGCTGTGGGAGCTTGAGTCTCTTATTAGCATCTGATGACAGACAAGTCCCTGACTCCCCCCAACCCCCAAATCAAAATAAAGTCACAGCCTGCCTTTCCCTCAGGCTAACAGTCTGGAATACCAGCCAGACATTAAACAAAATCAATCCTTTCTTCTGCTGGCCAGTTGTTAATCCCCTAGGCACAGTGACTGCCTCAAAACCATTAACATCATTATGACAATGAGAACGCATGTAATCTGTGAACAGCACAGCAGCTCGTCAGCACTGCTCACATCTCCAGCCCCCCACGCACGCACACACGCAGAAGCAGCCAGGGCTACAGAACAGAGCATCAGCCTCACACGAGCTGCAGTGGAATGGGCTGCAAGGACTAGCTACCTCTTTACCTGAGCTTTTGAGAGAGGGTCCCAATGCCTCTGGAGAGGTGAGACCAAAGGTGTACACACCACCATGCCGGGCCCCTTTTCAAAGGGTACTGGCTAGCAGCTGAGTGACCTGAAAGCTTGCATCCAAGTGTGGGAGAGCTGCCTGCCTCTGCACTTCACATTCACTCTCGGTGTTCATTGCCATCAGCTCCCAGTAGACCAGTGTTTCTCATCAGCTACTTCATCGTCATCCAAAGGGCCACTTATTACAGATGCAGCAGCCCCAACTGGCAAACAGGTGTGTGGTGCCAAATGCCTGTAATCTCTACACTATGGAGGCTGAGGCTGGAGGATTGCAGAAAAGTTCAAAGCCAGCCTGGGCTGTAGTATTCGATCATGTCTCTGGAGTAATTAGCACACTATACATACATACATACATACATACATACATACATACATACATACATACGTGTGTGTGTGTGTGTTTAATGTGTATGTAAAACACATATACACATATGTATTTCTTTTAACCACAGTATTTCTAAACACTACTCTGGCCATCATGCACGTTCAGGCTAAAGGAGACCTCCGCCCTAAACCAATGTTTCTCAAACTGAAGATCATGACCCATTTGGTGAGGAAATCAAATTAATGAGTCATGACCACCAGCTGATTTTTAATGGGGGGGGAGAGAAATCAGCATGCTGCAGGTAGTTAGGGTAATAGTCACTGCTTCCCAGAACTTCTTTTAGTAGCAGGCCAGTGCACAGTGCTATAATGTATTCCTTACCATGGATACCACAAAAGCTTGAAAATCATGGTTCTAAAGAACTGAAAGGTTTTTTCCCTACACAGCCCTGGAATCCCTTTATATAGACCAGGCTGGCCTCAAACTTGCGGTGATTCCCCTTGCCTCTACATTTTAAGAGTTCTGGGGTTGGTCATACACCCCTATTCTTAGCTAGGACAACTATTCTCATATATGCTGTTTATTTTCCATTCCCCACTCCTACCTCAATTCAAGCAGACAGAATCTAAACTGCTAAGGCAGAGTCCCAATGGATGTAGGGCATGAGCAGGCACCCACGCCTCCCATTTGACCCTGTCATGAAATAGGGAGTAAATCATAGTGCCAAAGGGAAATTTACCCAGCTCTCCTCAGGCTAGGCTTGTCAGAACAGACACTCAGGACAGCTCAGGACAAAAGTGGCGGGGCGAAGGGGCAAGAGGGGACAGACATGACGACGGGAGACACACACAGTGATAGCTGAGTATGTAGAAGGCACAATGATACATATGTATGAAATGTCATGACAGTCATTATTTTGCAAACTAAAGAACTTTAAAAATTATTTTAAAAAGAATGAGCAATCAGCATTAAATGCTAAGAAAGCAGCAAATTGGTAGATTGAATTCAGGTAAAGCCTACAGCAGTGTGTGAAAAAAAGGTGGAGAAATGTGAACCCCATCTTACTGATCAGTTTCTGTGAACCCGCAAACCAGACTAATGCAAAGCTACAAGCACGAAATTCACTGCAATTCCCATGTGCCTCTAATGTTCTGTAAATGGGGTACAGAAAGTAATCCGTAGTTTTATCAAGTGCTCTAGACAGAGCGCCCATCTTTCTTACGAAGAGGACAAAAGACTAAAAGCTAGGGCCCTTGTTAGCTCAAAGACACTCCAACGTGGCAACAAATAAATCAACAAGGAGGCCAAAAAGCAAAAACCCCAGCAGTGCTCCTGGGCAGACCCATTTGCCATTTCCAGCGACACGACTGTGGAAGGCTGCTGGATAAACCGGAGGATGCCCACTCAGCTTTTTAAAAACGGTGGAGTAAAAGTGAAGTCAGAGGTGGCAGGCAGCTCTTTACACAAGGGGTCCAACGGAACAGGCGTGCTCCCTCCCCCCTCCTTAGCGCCAGGCGCGAGACGCGAGTCAAGCCCCACTGTTTCAGGAAGCCACCAGAAGGGAGTCAGCTACCAGACAGGTGAAACTTGAAGCAGGGAGAGACAGGAGCCAGCTCCGGGGAGGGACCCTCCGCAGAGGCCCCCACAGCGGGTCTGGCGGCAGAGTTAGCGGCAAGGCCGCTGGGGGAGGCGCCGGGAAGCGTACAGGCAGGAACTCGCTGTGGTTCCCTCGGCCTGGAGCTGGCGAAGCACTCGGGGACTTTTGAGACCCCAGTGTCTCGGTGGAGACACAGACCAGACAGCCCGGTGTCACCGTGTGCCACGCGCCGGGTGGATTCGCGCCGAACAAGGGAAGCGGCAGCGCCCAGATCTGCGGTTCCCCACCATCGCCCGTCTGCTCGCCGTCTTCCCCAAGCCCCGAACTCGGAGCGCGCGCCAGTGTTTGTAAACAAACCGGTCACGTGGCCGCGGCAGTCGGCTCCCCGCCCATGGAGCCCCGGGAACCCTGCGGGAGCCCCAGAGGGACCTCGCCAGTATCGTCCCAACCGAGCTGGGCTGCGCGCTGTGCGGGAGCCCGACCGCCCACAGGGCTCACAGCCCGAACCCGCGCGGACAGAGCCCCACGCCCACGCGCGACCGGCCAGCGATCCCTTTACCTGGCGGCAGGCTGCCCGGTCCCGCCAGCGCCTGGCTCGGCTGCTCCCGAGTGCTTGGCGACGAAGGACTGCACGGCTGACTCTAGCGCTCCCTGCGCACTCTTAAAGCCACAGTCTCTGCCACCGCCGCCGCCACTGCCGCTCCGCATCCCTCCGAGTCCGGGCCGGGGGCTTGCCGGGTGACGGACGCGCCCCCGCGCCTATCCCATCGGTTCAGCACATAGCAACACGCCACTGGTTGGTCTGGCACGGCCGCAGCCCATCAGCGAGGAGCCAATCAACGGAGGACGGAACTCCGCCCCTGCTTCCCCTGCCTCCCGCCCCCCAATCCCCACCCGCCCCTCTGCCCTGGTGGGGCGCGCGTGCGAGGAGTGTGGCGAGGTCCGGGTCCCGCCTGTCGGGGCAGCTAGCGGGCGGGGCTGGGAGGAGAGATGATTGGGATGGGTGAGCTCTCTAAGATAAGAGGCTGTTTGTTTGGGTTTACTGGGATTCCCAGGACCTAGGGCAATGTTGGGAAGTGGGATTTACAGTGCTTCTGCTTGGAGAACCTAGATAGTAATTCCTCCCTTTGCTTTTAATTCCTGATGTAGAGCCTAAGTTACCAGAAGTGGAGATCAGACTTCAAGGCAGGTGGATTTAATAAGATAGTACCGATCTCACCATGCCAACCCATGCCCTGCTCAGAAGCAGAGACAATTCTCTATTCTCTCTGCCCTGCTAGTAATTTCGACCAGTTAGAACTGGTATGTGTGCGAGGCCCTGGGTTCAGTTCCCCAGCACTGGGGGTGGGAGAGCATGCTGAAGGACTTTAGAAGAATTGGGGTGCCCTATTGCTGATGGTTTTCCAGGGTCTTCAGAGGTTAATGAGGTCACTTGGCACCAGAAAGTAGAGAAAGAATGGTCAAAATGACCGAAGAGGAGGAGCTGGCATTCTGGGTCAGTGGGGTGGTGCTTTTCAAGGAAGAGAAGGTTAAAAAATAAACTCATGACAGTCGGGAAATCCAGGGAGGTACCAGGTGGGTGGAGTGGGGCAGAGTCTTCCAGCCGGAAAACAGGTCAGTTTGATAAAGAATTCCTGCCAGAGCCAGCGAACAGAGCAGGTCCAGCCTTTTCTCTAAGTCACTTGGGGCTCTGCATGGCATGGGGGCAAAAACATGTTTTCACCGACATTTTAGAAAGAAGAAAATATATGGTAGTTGGGCAGGGTGGACCATACCTTATAACCCAAGTGTTTGGAAAGCGGAGCCAGAAGGATTAGAAGCTCAAGGTCATCCTCAACTGCATAGCCAGTTAAAAGACCCCTTAGATTACAAGGGGAAAAAAGGACGGTTTCTGGATATGAGCTGCTGTTGCAGGAGACGCAGGTAACTTCTGTCTCCTACCCTGTAGTAATTTACACATAAACCCAGTATGGTGCTTAGGTAGATCCCCAGGTGACTCAAAACTTAACCTGTAACTCCACCCAGCTGTTTTTAATATACGTGCAATCAACCAAGTTGTCTTCAGTTAATGTACATCATGTGGTTAGGAATGAATTCAGTCCCAATGTTAGTAAAAACAAAACTGCCTCATATTCGATAGCTGGTATCAGTTTCAGTGTAAGGACACTCATTGTTTACAATTGACTACTTTGAGAAGTCTAAATCCTGGGGGCAAAAGACCTTCAACTAAGTAATAACAAACTTGAAAGGTTTAAGGTTTAATCTTTAAGAATGTATAGTAAAGCTGGGCAGTGGTGGTGCACACCTTTAATCCCAGTAATTGGGAGGCAGAGGCAGATCCACCTGGATCTCAGGGAGTTTGAGGCCAGCCTAGTCTACAGCAGGAGTGCCAGGAGAGGTTCCAAAGCTACACAGAGAAACCCTGTCTCAAAAAAAAACAAAAAACAAAAACAAAAACAAACAAACAAAAAACCCAAAGGAATATATATATTAAATTCTTTAGATTTGCTTACTAGCGCAGGGATGCCTCCTGGGTAGTTTCTTTGTCCTTAAACCTTCATTCGTTGTGTGCTTGAGGTTGTAGATTCAATAAGGAACCAGAAAATCAAACTTGTTACATTTCCGAAATATTGTTTTAGTGAGTATATTTGTATCTACAGGTTCCCCACCCCCTAACAGTAGATTCTATATACCCTAGGATACAGAATACTGGTATGTTATGTAACAAGATTGGAGGCAACTGTTTTCTGTTTAAATAAAAGATAACATTAGCTAAGGACCTGCCTGCTGTGGGGTGCTCTGAGGACCCCTGCAGGCCTGCCGTGTGACTGCAGGCAATTGGAAGAGGCAACAGAACCATCAGGCTGGAAAACAATAGAATCAGCCTGCCAGAAAAAATATATATATATATTAAGCCAGATCATGCCTCCTCCCAGCCAAAGGAGCCAAGCTTTATGAGTTGACAAGGAAAAAGGAGAACTGAAACAAAGAAGTTGGGGGAAGCAGCTAAGTGCTAGGTTCTCTTTCTCTGTAAACCCAAGCACCTTCACTGGCCTAGGTACATTTTTATTTACTCAGTGCCGTATTTCCTGCTTGACTAGGACTTATTCTGAGAACCTATTGAGAGGAAAGAAGCTCGGGCCAATGGACCGTTGAGAATAGACAGATATTTATCCTGAGGGCAACAACAGAGATGAAGCAATATGTAAAAAGACAGCAACAAATGTTCTCAGAGTTAAAAAAAAAAAAAAAAAGAATTGTGGCGATAGACTTCAAAAGGTTCCTGGTCAAGCCGGGCGTTGGTGGCGCACGCCTTTAATCCCAGCACTCCGGAGGCAGAGGCAGGCGGATCTCTGTGAGTTCGAGGCCAGCCTGGTCTACAAAGTGAGTTCCAGGACAGCCTCCAAAGCTACAGAGAAACCCTGTCTCGAAAAACCAAAAAAAAAAAAAAAAAAAAAAAGGTTCCTGGTCTCACAATCGTAGTATCAGCTTGACTGCCCCATCCTGTTGTGTGATGCCAAGCAATTCTTTTCCATTAGCTTCCATTATCAATCCTGGGTTCCTGCTGCAGCTATGAACAAAGCCACTTTTGTTTTTGTTTTCTCTATTTTTTTTTCCAAGACAGGGTTTCTTGGCGGTCCTGGAACTCGAGCTGTAGTCCAGCTGTCCTTGAACTTGAACTCACAGAACTCCGCCTATCTCTGCCTCCTGAGTTCTGGGATTAAAGGTGTGTGCCACCACCACCCATCTTGTTTTCTCTTTTTATATTCATTTATTTGCTTGGTTTGTTTTTTGTGAGACAGAGTCTCTATTTTGTAGCCTCAGCTGTCCTAGAACTCAGTATGTAGATCAGGTTGGCCTTGAACTCACCTGCTTCTGCCTCAGGAGTGCTGGGATTAAAGGCGTGTGCCACTAACGCCCGACTCTCTTTCATTTTTCAAGGTCAATCTTTAAAGCATATTTACTTTGCTGTGTGTTTGTGTAAATGTAGAAGTCAGGAAAGAACAACTTGTGGGGGTCAGTTCTCGACTTCCGCCTTGGTTTTGTTTGTTTTGCAAAAGTAGAAATTGGAGGAGGGGAGAACTAGTTTTACTTGGTTTTCTTCCTTGGTGTGTTGTTTTGCTTGCTTCTATAATCCAGTACACTTAACTCACAGACATATTTAACGAAATAAGGAAAACAATATATTTAGAGTGGCATTCTAATTGTATGGAGGGAAACAATCAGTTTTAGCCAGCTGTCCAAGTCAGAGACCTCCATGTTAATGTCAAATCGCTGCCTTCTGCAGACAAAAGATATTTTCTCATTTATCTACCTGGTTGAATTCAACAGTTCTATTAACTATTTTTTTATGTGTGTATCTGTCTGTATAGGCACCACGTGCATGTAGTGCTTACGAAGCCAAAAATAGGTGTTCCATTACCTGGAGCTGGAGCTACAGGTAGTCGTGAGCCACCTGATGTGGATGCTGGAAGTGTAGCCCTGATCCTCTGGAAGAAGAGCAAGTAGTCTTAGCCACTCAGCCAGCCTTCCAGCCCTTCAAGATGACTTCATTCAGAGCAAAGTGAGATTACGGATTAGAGGCACTGTAATCCTTGCCGGCTACAAGAGAGTCCTCAAGTGCCAAATGCAACTTTGTTGAGTAGGATCACTCTTTTTTTTTTTTTTTTTTTTGGTTTTTCGAGACAGGGTTTCTCTGTAGCTTTGGAGGCTGTCCTGGAACTCACTTTGTAGACCAGGCTGGCCTCGAACTCACAGAGATCCGCCTGCCTCTGCCTCCGGAGTGCTGGGATTAAAGGCGTGCGCCACCAACGGCCGGCTGAGTAGGATCACTCTTGTAATTTTTTTTTTATTGCATACTCCAGGCTGCCTGTCCTGAGAACTTCTGGATAAGTCATCCCTAAACTCCAGGGGCCAAACTCAGGTCCTTGGTGTTTTATTGGAACCTCCAGTTCACCCCTATATGATCCAGGATGCCCCATCCCTCCCCCTCCAAACCCCACCCACTCAGAGTCTCCAAACAAAGGCACCAAAAAGCCCAGTTCCAAATTCTTGGCAGCTACTGCAGCTTCCTCCCCTGAAGTTACCAGCCACCCAAGTTACCCTCTAAAACATTCAGCTTTTGACCATACTTGGGCACAAACCCAGTTTCTGGCAGAAACATCATCACTCCTCACCTACAACCTATATAATCTCCCTGCTTTAGTTTGGGTTTGTGGCTTCTCTGGCCTCGATCTCTGGAACTGGAGAACTCACCTGGACCAGGTTGCTTTGTTCAAATAAACCTGATGTTATACTTGAACTGGCTTACTGCATCGTCAGAGAAACCTGTTATCAGGGGTCATAAAACCTATTACTTAGGCTGCACAAGTCCTTTTTGTAATAGTTTAAAAAACAGTAGGAAGAAACCATGCAACACACCAGGGCACATATGGGAGGTTTATTGGGGGAGAGAGAAGGGGGCAGAGACAGGTCCCTGAGGACAAGAGTGATAGAAGAGAAATAGATCAAGAAATGGGAGGTAGGCAAAGCCCACCTTTTATAAAGAAATGTAGCAAATATGCACAGGTGGTGCTCTTAGTGACTGTCAGGACTCCAAGGGCAGGCCAGTACAGGTGCCTAAATATTAACACTTTTACCTTCAGAGCAATAGTACCAGCCGACTCACTGATGCAAACACATAAGGTTTAATGTTAAGTTACAAGCCTCAGCAGGGACCCTGTCCAGCAAACTGGCACAGCAGCTGCAGGAAAAGGGTGCCTGGCCTCAATTGCAAGGGGTTTATAAAGGAAAAGATCACAAGCAGGCTGGTATGTGCCATGACTGTTCGGGATTGGGTAAGAGTAGGTGACCTTTGGATTTGTTGACTTGGGGGCTAGGAGAATTTCAAAATTGTTACTAATAGTTGCCCACAAGGACAGTTGTGATGAGAAAATGTCATTTACCAGAATTAGTCATTGCCTGACCACCTGGATGGGGTCACTCTGTCCAGGGTGGGCACAGTTTGGGTGCTCCTTGGAACTGTTTATGGTTCCTTGGCTGGCACTGAATCAGCCTTGTGCCAAGCAGGGATTTTTTTTTTTTTGGTTTTTCGAGACAGGGTTTCTCTGTGGCTTTGGAGGCTGTCCTGGAACTCGCTCTGTAGAACAGGCTGGCCTTGAACTCGCAGAGATCCACCTGCCTCTGCCTCCCGAGTGCTGGGATTAAAGGCGTGCACCACCAACGCCCGGCTAAGCAGGGAATTTCTTAAGGAGGCTTTTTCTGAGGATGGAGTTAACCTTGCTCTTACAAAACCACCACATTTGTTCTCAGCATGTCTGTCTTTACTAAGGCCACCATGGTCTGAGCCTCTTGCTTTGAGAAAGTTGCAAGTGCTCAGGAGATCTCCCTGCTTCTAATTCATTTTCTACTTAGCCAGATGGTATGTCATCAAAACAAACTCCTTCTGGTAGTCCAGGGCCCACCCACCAGGACTGCCAAACCCTCTGACCCTCCAGGATCTGTCCTCTACTCCACCTGATCAAGTCAGCCTGGCCTCCTGTCCATTCTCTTTGTCTTGGTTTTTTGTTTTTTTAGTTTTGTTTTTTGGTTGATTGAGATAGGGTTTCCGTTGAGTAACAGCCCTATTTGCCCTGGAACTAGCTCTTTAGGTCAGGCTAGCCTCAAACTCACAGAGATCTGCCCCTGGAATGCTGGGATTAAAGGTGTGTGCCACCGGCTAGACCTTGGTGGCACACGCCTTTAATCCCAGCACTCAGGAGGCAGAGGCAGGCGGATCTCTGTGAGTTCAAGGCCAGCCTGGTCTACAGAGGGAGTTCCAGGAGTCCAGGACAGCCTCCAAAACAATACAGAGAAACCCTGTCTCGAGAAAAAAAAAAAGTGTGCACCACCACCTAGCTTCCTTTACTTGTTTTTTTTTCCTTTTTTTTTAAAGATTTATTTATTATGTATCCAGTGTTCTACCTGCATGTCTGTCTGCCTACAGGGCAGAATAGGGCAGGGCACCAGATCTCATTACAGATGGTTGTGAGCCATCATGTGGTTGCCACGAATTGAACTCGGGACCTCTGGAAGAGCAGCCAGTGCTCTTAACTTCTGAGCCATCTCTCCAACTGCCCCTTACTCATTCATTAATGCCAAGAATCTGAGCATTGGGCGTGACACCACCCACCTTCAATCTTAGCAACCTAGAGGGCTGAGGCAGTAGGATGGCTGCACATTCGAGGTTGGCCTAGATTAAAGAGTGATATCCTGTCTCGAAAATCAAAATACACCTGAGTAGTGGTGCATGTTTTAAATGCCGATTTTGGGAAGCAGGAGGCCTGTGCCTGAGGCAGGCAGATCTCTGTGAGTTCAAGGCCAGCCCTGAGTACGTAATGAGCTATGTAGAGAAACCTGCTTCAAACAAACAAAAAAAATCCCAAATTAAAAAAACAGTTTTGTGGGTTATACTTGTATTTCTAGCACTCAGGAGGCTGAGGTAGGAACATCTCTGTGAGTTCAAAGCCAGCCTGGTTGATAGTGTAAACTTGAGGTCAGTATACCATGCATTACACCCCACCTATACCTTCCATAAGCTGTAAAGGCCCCAAGGTTGGGACATTAGTATCAGCTTCCTATATTAGCACATTATATCCTCTCTAGTGGTCTTCCTAGACCTGATGACCTCAGAAACCCTTCCTCTTTAAGCTCAGAGACCCCCCCCTCTAAAATCTACATATAAACCTGGAGAATTTCCTTTGTTTTACCGGTTGCTACTGTATCACCACCATATCCCAGCTCCCCCTGCGGGTGTCCAGTGCCTTTAAAGGACCCGCTCATCTGAAATCTATCTCAACACATCTAACAAACCTGGAGAGAATCTTTAATATTCAAAACAAATGAATAATATTGATACTCTTAGTAAGAGCGTAGAAGCAGCTCTGTGGTACAGTGCTCGCCTAGACTATTCAAGGCTCTGGGTTTGACCTCCAGTACTGGAAAAGAAAAGAAAAGCTGTTTGCCTGGTGACTCAGTCCAAAGAGCAAGCAGATCGAATGTCTCTTTAGAGGACTTTCCTTTACCCTCCCTAATGAAATTAATGTCTTTCTCCCCAGTGCTCTGAATAACACTTTATTCATAGCTCCATTACATCACCCAGCCCTCCACACTCCCTAGGAAGAGTTATCAGCTATCTGTCTTCTCCGCCAGGCCCCGCTGGCAAGGACTTATCAGATCAACAGTGCATTTCCAGCACCTGGCACCTGGTCGCTCCTCTTGACAGATTCCCAGCTGAGTTGGATCCAGTGGGAATCAACGGATAGGGTCTTCTCTCAGTGTGCTGATCTGAAGATAGCAGTCCTGCTTTCAAGAATGAACATGCTGAACCTGAAATTTCGGGATGTTCTATAATAAAAGGGGCAGGCTGCATTAAAAAAAATTACACTACAATGGAAACTTCCTGAAGGGTAAAGGCTGCACACTCCCACACTGCCATCCCACCTGGGAAAACTTCCAACTCTGCCCCTGTCCGGAGGGGGAAGGGCCCTTCACAGGCTGACTGCTTGTTCTCCCCCCAACACCCATCAGTAAAGTCCCGTGGCATTACATCACAGAGGAGGACCTGGTGCCATCTTCCTGTGTGGACAGACATTGTAACTGTGCTTTGTTTCTTTATGTACAATAAACGCTTTTCAGCTCTGACCAAGTCACTGTTTTCAGGAGTGAATGTAGCTAAAGATGTGCCTTGCAGACTGTTGCTAAGTACCTTGGACCTTTCTGGGCATGAACTTCCTTTAATAAAATAACTGCTTCTATTCATCCAGTGCATCTCACATACAGAGAAGTGTCTGATTCATTCTTTTGGCTGTTTTTTTTTTAAATTTGTTTGTTTATGGTTTTTCAAGAAGGAATTTCTCAGCCGGGCGTTGGTGGCGCACGCCTTTAATCCCAGCTCTCGGGAGGCAGAAGCAGGTGGATCTCTGTAAGTTCGAGGCCAGCCTGGTCTACAAAGTGAGTTCCAGGACAGCCTCCAAAGCCACAAAGAAACCCTGTTTCGAAAAACCAAAAAAAAAAAAGGAAGGAATTTCTCTGTATAACCCTGGGTGTCCTAGAACTCACTCTAAGATCAGACTGGCCTCGAACTCAGAGATCTGCCTGCCTCTGCCTCCCAAGTGCTGGGACTAAAGGAGTGCCTGACCACCGATGGGCATCTGATCCATTCTTCTTTTTTTGGGGGGGAGGGGGTTTGAAACAGGGTTTCTCTGTATTGTTTTAGAGGCTGTCCTGGAACTTGCTTTGTTGACCAGGCTGGCCTCGAACTTACAGAGATCTGCCTGCCTCTGCCTCCCGAGTGCTGGG